CCCCTTTAATCCTGCTAAACCCAAAGGTTTCTGTTCAATTATAAACTTGTCAAGCCAAAGAGTTATATTCACTTATAAACTTTGTAAGCCAGGGGTTTCTGTTCAAATATTAACTTGATAAGTCAGGGGTTTCTGTTCACTTGTACACTTCACAGCCCGGGGTATCTGATCACTAAAAAACTTGCTAAACCAATTCTTTCTGTTATATTATAAACTTGCCAAGCCCAGGGTTTCTGTTCAATTTTGAAAACTTGTTATTCGAGAGGTTTTTGCTTACTAATGAACTACTAAACCCGGGGATACTGCACATTGACATTCATTTATTTTTTAAATTATTTATTAAATCATTCCATCCATAATGGGCGGATTGGTCGAGTGGTTAACACTCAAGCCTTCCACGCAGGCGGCCGGTAATCGATCCCCGAAGTCGTCGTACGCATGGAATATTAAGAGAAAGTGCTTGTCTCCTGCCCTCGTACAGCAACATCCAACCCATGTGGAGTATACAATGGCCTGTGTTGGATGTTGCGTAATCTGTGCCGTTGCATTCTAGTGAGGTGGCACTGTAAATGATACCGTTGGAAGCACGGTCCCACTACAAACTGGACACAATGCATCTCCAGCACACACGCAGGCCTACACACATAGGGATATATTAGCCAGGTGGCATAGGACAAGTAATTAGCGCCTGATAAGTCAGCTCAAGCGAATTCCTCAAAATTGTATTGATTAATGTATAAGCTAATTGTATTGATTATATAACATTATATAGCAATGTACAGTAAAGCGATTTAGAGTAGCTTAGTTTAGCTAGATAGGGCGCTATATCAAATGTTGTATATTATTATTATTATTGCTAAGGATCCTTTTTAATAATTATAATAGTTCATACATACCCTTAACGTATACTGGATTCCTACGTTGAATCGCCTGTCTTTATTATTCTCAACAATGTCTGTGACGTACCCAACAAGAGCTAAAACGCCAACGAAAAAATAATTTAAAACAATGAATATATTCATAAAATCTCAAACATATACAATCAATTACATATAAAGTGCCGTTTTGTGTCTAAAGGTGAGAGATATGTGTTGCCCTTTAAAATGTGGTAGTCCAGATACGTCATTGTTTGAATAAATTATAGTATATGAATATACCAAGATAGGAAATCCTGTTTCACTGTAGGCGAACCACTACAAGATTCGACTCTAGTTTTTACAGCGATGATCGGAGGTCCAGGGTTCGAATCCTTGTTTTGCCTCATTGCAATTCAACACTCAGAATACTGTTGTTGATTTTGTTTTTTATCATTTCTTTTTGCTTTTTTCATAAACGTTTTTTAAAATTATAAATTACATTCCCTAAATCATTTGTCAAAGCTATCTTCATGTCGGAAAAATAGCTTCAAATGAAAAAAATGAAAATCAGGAAATTGACAACAAAACAACAAAGAAACCACTGCAAGGTTACAATTTTTGACAATGGTACACGGATCTTTAAATCTTTTACTGTTACTTTTAGTTTCACAAAATGGGGATAATACCGAAATAAATACGATAGTTGGGACGGTAAAAATGAAATAGCAAGGTACTCTAATGAGCGTTATCTAACACATGGAGCTATACATAGCACAAAGATGTACGTCACTACCGAAGATATCTCATTGCTGGACAATAAGGGGTGGTGTAGTTAAATATCACATAACAATATGACATTTATATACCATTTTTTCTATAATTGAAACTAGTTAATTATTATAACAGTTCACTCATGTAAGACATGTAATCTCTATACGGAGGAAATGAAGAATATGTCTGTCTGTCTGTCTGTCTGCACAAATATATAGAATATTTCCCTATAAGACACATGTTCCGACTATAAAACATTTTATTTGATTTTAATAATTACCAATGCATCATTGTTGAAAGAGAATGCTCAAAATTAAAATGCACATTAAAATGCACATTTGATTCATTACACTTCTGGAGTATACAGCGTCACGAATACCACTATAATCCTTTTTAAAGGTACATAATAAAAATGACTGGTTTTGGAAAAGATTGCAATAAAGAAAAAAAAATTCAGCGCGCAGTTCTATATCTAATGTTTAAATGTGAAATAACAAATTTCGTTTCAGCTTGACATGACTCTTGTTTTTAGATCCGCAGACTTCTAAAAATTAAAATGCTTTTCATCACCGTCTTGCCCCTTTTTGAGTTCCACTCACCTTCTGGAACTTTCACCGCTCTAATGTCACGGTTGGTCGTACCCTCATTTGCTTTTCGACCATAATCGGCTACTCGTTTGTCAGTCTGTCGATCATTCAAACGAACCGTAGTCTAAATCGGATGAGGGATTTGCCTTGTATGCCTTAATTCGGGTCGGTTGTTTCTCTCTTGTCCAAATCGTCCATTGTCAATTTCAATATTATCACGGTATCTATATCCAGTGATTGTCTGTTTCAAGTTCTGAGGCCCTCTATTATTAGGTTAGAGATTTGTAATTGGTACTAGAATGAAATCACAGTTGCCATAATCACCTCAATGAATCTACTAGTGGTAGATAACAGTTTACCTCGCCCCGGTTTCACAAAAGTTCGTTAGATGAAGTTATTATTTCCCCTTGCCTATGGCAACTATGTTTTTTTTTGGGGGGGGGGGGATTAAACTGAACGATAAATATCTAAGTTAATATGTTTCTTGAAGCCATGGCCTGATTATCTGTCGGTGTCGCAGCTTGATAGGATGCATTCGTTTCCACATCCAGTTCCTGTTCCGGTTTTTCTTTCTTTCATCATGGTAAGTAACGATGCCTTTGATAAGGGTAAACGGCTTTAAGATATACTTATTGTTCTCCTTCCATACCTGCTGATGCCTTTACTGTCCTGCAGGGGATCTGAGGGTGACCGTCAAGTAGTTTTGAGCTGAAGATACCAGCAAAAGGTTCATTCAGTGGGAATCTTATTTCTATTTTTGTGACGCATTTCAGTTAAACCAGTTGCCTACCATTAATTAAACCCCATGTTAAATGACTTAGGTTTAAATCGCACTTTTGAACGGTCAGTTCTGTTCGAAATCACATTCAATATACTTTAACCTTTCACCGTCTTACGGGTGTAATCTATCGAGTAAAGTAGTAGCAGGTACTGCTGACGGTTTGGGGTAACATTAGACTAGCCGCTCATTATCCTAGATTTACAGCCCAATGAAACAAGTGTTAATTAACAAGACACCAACAACACAGCATAAGCATCGTTGTGATGCCTCTAGTTTTTTCAAGCATTAACATCGTACGAATATTCTTCATATAAGAAATGATCTTTAAACAGTTTCATAATGGTCACAAATATATGCAAGGGGCACCGAGGTTCCCTAACTTTCCACTGCTAAGAGTGTAAACGTAGAAAAACAACCGCACTGTGCTACCCTCGCTTTCAGCAATGTTTAAATGTTTAGCCAGCAGTATGTGTATTGATGCTATGGTGTAGTTTGTATGTGTGCGTTTGCGCTATGGTATATGTTCTTTATGCTTGCTAGCGCTATCGTATATTATGTACTTGTGTGTCGATGGAATTGTATCTTTTTCTATTTCGCATGAAATGTTACAGAATTTCTTTAAGGTTCAGCAAGCCCCCCTGAAAGATGGAATAGTCACCCAAAACTTTGACCACCTGATAAGTAATAAAGATCAAAATTCAATATCGAAATTCAGATATATAATTTGAATATATTGAACTTGTACTTTAGTTATTAACGTTGTACATATCGACGGTAACATAATCTAAAATAGGGCATTAAACTCGAAGTGTTCATAAAAACCTTTTAGCCGCATAAAAGCATGTCAATCTTTGCGCCTACATTGAATGCTAGGAAAGGCCGGGTTACGTTTCTTTGTTATTAGCAGTCGAAATGCATATCGGCTTCAGACCAATATGAAAGATAATCGTAGTTAAATGTCATGACAATTTGTTTTTACCAGAATGAAAATACCAAACCAACAGCCGTGTTACCATGATGAATAAATGCACTTAACATAAAGTGGGGTTTTTTCTTCTGATAATTTGCGTTGTAATAAAAAAAAGTTACACTTGTTATAAACTTTTTATAACTTTTCATTTATAATATATTAATCTGTTTAGTTCATTTACAGCAGCACAGAACGTATTTTTTTTTAGATTATTATGTAAAGTGTGTCTATCACTCTTAGACAAGAATCCTTCGTTTCCTTTTTCGGAGTATGTTAAAATATATTAAGGATTTATGTGGTTTCACATGACCACATCCATATTGATTTCTGGCTGGTATGCTTATCCAAAGCTAATAAAAGAGAAATTATTTTCTGCATGACCTATGTATATAAATGGACTTTAGCTCATTATGTCATTTCGTAACATTCACTTGGGTCGGAAAAATGACGTATTTGTAATAAAATCAATTGAATTGCCTCATTATTGACAAAGTTGGCCTCACTATATACCATTCTATAACTAATGCACAAATTGAATATATCCAAATTACATATCTGAATTCTGATGTTTAATGGGTCTTCAAATACCACTTATCAAGGGCTTGACCTTTTGGGTGAACATAAATACCAGCATGTTGGGGTTGTTGCTAAAAGTTACAAATTGCTTCACTGCGTTGTCAAGGTGACGATAGTTGGTTAAAGAGTAATTAAACTAAAACTTACCAAAGCTACTGAGGTGGCAAAAATCTGTTTGTGGGTGAGATTCTGGACAGAAGCACGCGTGAACTTTGTAAAGATCAGGTAAAAATACCCCAAGTACAAACACAACTAAGATCTTGTTCATTTCCATCATGGCGCTGAAACAAAATAAAGTATCTTTTAAACAATCGGCTTTTGAAGTCTTCAGCTATCTATTACAACACATGTCATAAAATAGACTTATGGATAATAATGGAATGTGTTAACGAGAGGCGACACGCTGAATTAGGTATTGGAAAAGTATAATCAAATGTCAGGATATCAGAAACTATGTACACTATGGCTCCGGTAATGAGTTATTTATTAAAGATGATAAAATGACCGATATACATGAAAATTACACATTAGTTATGTTCGCACCTGCTGTCCGGGGATAGATTTATTTAGATGTTTAGCAGAGATAAAACTATCGCTTTGGAACGATAGATAATGAAGCAAGCATACGTTTAGTTTGAGTTTAATTTGACCAATAAATAGGGAACGACGGTTATTTGTAAGTGACGACAGCTAGAACTCTTTGTACGTGTGTATATTTAATACATAGCTTTTTGCTATACAAAAGAGACGAAAGATACGCTAAATCAAAACGACACAGACCGCAGCTAATACCTTGATATCGAGCTAATAAATTTCATCTTGACCAAAGAATTATGTTAACTCTTGATTTGTCAACTTATACTAGATATGAGAATGTCAATTTAAATTATAAATGAAATTTGATTTCTTTGTTTTTAAATGTGTGTAAAAGAAGCATCCTCACCTTTTTTTAATAGATGCGATGGCTGTATTTCTGCTAGAAAATTCTTATTTATACAACAATTGTTTTAGAGTATGTAAATCTCATAACAACATCATGTACCTAACTTGAAATAGGAATAGGGATGAATTGTTTTTCCTTGTCAAATATTTGCCCTCTGGTCTAAAACCGAAATTGCCTGGAGTTTAATTTACCAACGAATATTTACCAATGCTGCTTAATATATAACTTATCTTTGCTGGATTTTCCCTCCCCTTTAAAGACAAAATTAACGGAAATGAACAAGAGACGATCATTTACCAGAGCAAAATGCTATATTTGTAGTATTGGATATTCTTGATGCTTTGTAAGTTATTATTATGACATCATCAAAACTATAAACATACTTACTGAATTCACCTTGCGACAAGCTGCTCTTTCCGACGAATTAGAATACGAAACACCAACAGATGAGTACAAACAGAATACTATAAAATTCACTGTCGACTAATCTCATGCGTCCGTTGTCATATCTGATAAACTTAATTATGCTCAGAAACATCACGACTGTACATTTCATACGGAAAATAGATATCCAATTGTGTAAATGCCATTGTTATCTGTCATTAACCCATCTAAATTACGGAAACAATTTGTAGTTAATACGTATTTAATACGTACTTATTTTAATAGCCCCACTTCCGTATAACCAGTGGGGAAGAGATTGCAACATGTCAAGCTGCTTATTTCGTCCGACTGACATTATTGTTACTTTATCTGGATAATAAGCTGTGTAGAAACATCCTGTATATGTGTGTCATTACTAGCGCATATCTAAATAATGTGTCACGGTAAGGTTAATGTATCAGATTATAATAAAGCAAAAGGTCTTAATATTGGATATGTATCATATCCCGACTTAACATCGTGTGTAGTAAATTATTACTAGGCAGTGTGTCGTGACGAGGGACATGTATTGTATCATGACTAGACAATGTACGTGTCGTGGTTAGAGACATGTATTGTATCATAACTAGACAATGTACGTGTCGTGGTAGGAGACATGTATTATATCATGACTAACCAATGTACGTGTCGTGGTTAGAGACATGTATTGTATCATGACTAGACAATGTACGTGTCGTGGCAAGGGACATGCATTGTATCTTGACTAGACAATGTACGTGTCGTGGTTAGAGACATGTATTGTAGCATGACTAGACAATGTACGTGTCGTGGTAGGGACATGTATTGTATCATGACTAGACAATGTACGTGTCCTGGTTAGAGAAATGTATTGTATCATGACTAGACAATGTAAGTGTCGTGGCAAGGGTCATGTATTGTATTTTGACTAGACAATGTACGTGTCGTGGTAGGATACATGTATTGTATCATGACTAGACAATGAACGTGTCATGGTTAGAGACATATATTGTATCTTGACTAGTCATTTTACGTGTCGTGGTAGGGAAATGAATTGTATCATGACTAACCAATTTACGTGTCGTGGTTAGAGTCATATATTGTATCATGACTAACCAATGGACGTGGCGTGGTTAGAGACATTTATTCTATCATGACTAACCAATGGACGTGGCGTGGTTAGAGACATTTATTATATCATGACTAGAAAATGTACGTGTCGTGGAAAGGGACATGAATTGTATCTTGACTAGTCAATGGACGTGATGTGGCAAGAGACATATATTGTATCATGACTAACCAATGTACGTGTCGTGATTAGAGACATTTATTGTATCATGACTAACCAATGTACGTGTCGTGGTTAGAGACATATATTATATCATGACTAGACAATGTACGTGTCGTGGCAAGGGACATGCATTGTATCTTGACTAGACAATGTACGTGTCGTGGTTAGAGACTCGTATTGTATCATGACAAGACAATGTACGTGTCGTGGTTAGAGACATGTATTGTATCATGACTAGACAATGTACGTGTCGTGGTTAGAGACATGTATTGCATCATGACTAGACAATGTACGTGTCGTGGTAGGAGACATGTATTGTACCATGACTAGTCAATGTACATGTCGTGGTTAGAGACATATATTGTATCATGACTAACCAATGTACGTGTCGTGGTTAGAGACATATATTGTATCATGACTAGACAATGTACGTGTCGTGGTTAGAGACACGTATTGTATCATGACAAGACAATGTACGTGTCGTGGTTAGAGACATGTATTGTATCATGACTAGACAATGTAAGTGTCGTGGCAAGGGACATGCATTGTATCATGACTAACCAATGTACGTGTCGTGGTTAGAGACATTTATTCTATCATGACTAACCAATGTACGGGTCTTGGTTAGAGACATATATTGTATCATGACTAGACAATGTTCGTGTCGTGGTTAGAGACATGTATTGTATCATGACTAGACAATGTAAGTGTCGTGGCAAGGGACATGTATTGTATTTTGACTAGACAATGTACGTGTCGTGGTAGGATACATGTATTGTACCATGACTAGTCAATGTACATGTCGTGGTTAGAGACATGTATTGTATCATGACTAGACAATGGACGGGTCGTGGTTAGAGACATGTATTGTATCATGACTAGACAATGTTCGTGTCGTGGTTAGAGACATGTATTGTATCATGACTAGATAATGTACGTGTCGTGGTAGGAGACATGTATTGTACCATGACTAGTCAATGTACATGGCGTGGTTAGAGACATATATTGTATCATGACTAGCCAATGTACGTGTCGTGGTTAGAGACATTTATTCTATCATGACTAACCAATGTACGGGTCGTGGTTAGAGACATAAATTGTATCATGACTAACCAATGTACGTGTCGTGGTTAGAGACATATATTGTATCATGACTAGCCAATGTACGTGTCGTGGTTAGAGACATTTATTCTATCATGACTAACCAATGTACGTGTCGTGGTTAGAGACATTTATTCTATCATGACTAACCAATGTACGGGTCGTGGTTAGAGACATAAATTGTATCATGACTAGACAATGTACGTGTCGTGGTAGGAGACATGTCTTGTACCATGACTAGTCAATGTACATGTCGTGGTTAGAGACATATATTGTATCATGACTAGCCAATGTACGTGTCGTGGTTAGAGACATTTATTCTATCATGACTAACCAATGTACGGGTCGTGGTTAGAGACATATATTGTATCGTGACTAGACAATGTACGTGTCGTGGTTAGAGACATATATTGTATCTTGACTAGACAATGTACGTGTCATGGTAGGAGACATGTATTGTATCTTGACTAGACAAAGTACGTGTCGTGGTAAGAGAAATGTATTGTACATGTATCTTGACTAGACAATGTACGTGTCGTGGTAAGAGAAATGTATTGTACATGTATCTTGACTAGACAATGTACGTGTCGTGGTAGGAGACATGTATTGTATCTTGACTAGACAATGTACGTGTCATGGTTAGAGACATAAAATATATCTTGACTAGACAATGTACGCGTCGTGGCAAGGGACATGCATTGTATCTTGACTAGACAAAGTACGTGTCGTGGTAAGAGAAATGTATTGTACATGTATCTTGACTAGACAATGTACGTGTCGTGGTAGGACAAAATATATATTGTATCTTGACTAGACAATGTACGTGTCATGGTAGGAGACATGTATTGTATTTTGATTGGACATGTACGTGTCGTGGTAGGACAAAATATATATTGTATCTTGACTAGACAATGTACGTGTCATGGTAGGAGACATGTATTGTATTTTGATTGGACAATGTACGTGTCGTGGTAGGATACATGTATTGTATCATGACTAACCAATGTACGTGTCGTGGTTAGAGACATATATTGTATCATGACTAACCAATGTACGTGTCGTGGTTAGAGACATATATTATATCATGACTAGACAATGTACGTGTCGTGGCAAGGGAAATGTATTGTATCATGACTAGTCAATGTACTTGTCATGGTAGGAGCCATGTATTGTATCCTGACTATTCAATGTACGAAGAGACATGTATTGTATCTTGACTAGACAATGTACGAGTCGTGGCAAGGGACATGCATTGTATTTTGACTAGACAATATACGTGTCGTGGTAAGAGACATGTATTGTATCTTGACTATACAATGTACGTGTCGTGGAAGGAGACATGTATTGTATCTTGACTGGACAATGTACGTGTCGTGGAAGGAGACATGTATTGTATCTTGACTGGACAATGTACGTGTCGTGGAAGGAGACATGTATTGCATCTTGACTAGACAATGTACGTGTCGTGGTAAGAGACATGTATTGTATCTTGACTAGACAATGTACGTGTCGTTGAAGGAGACATGTATTGTATCTTGACTAGACAATGTACGAGTCGTGGCAAGGGACATGCATTGTATTTTGACTAGACAATATACGTGTCGTGGTAAGAGACATGTATTGTATCTTGACTATACAATGTACGTGTCGTGGAAGGAGACATGTATTGTGTCTTGACTAGACAATGTACGTGTCGTGGAAGGAGACATGTATTGTATCTTGACTAGACAATGTACGTGTCGTGGTAGGACAAAATATATATTGTATCTTGACTAGACAATGTACGTGTCATGGTAGGAGACATGTATTGTATTTTGATTGGACATGTACGTGTCGTGGTAGGACAAAATATATATTGTATCTTGACTAGACAATGTACGTGTCTTGGCAAGGGACATGCATTGTATCATGACTAGACAATGTACGTGTCGTGGCAAGGGACATGCATTGTATCTTGACTAGACAAAGTACGTGTCGTGGTAAGAGAAATGTATTGTACATGTATCTTGATGACTAGACAATGTACGTGTCGTGGTTAGAGACATATATTGTATCATGACTAACCAATGTACGTGTCGCGATTAGAGACATTTATTGTATCATGACTAACCAATGTACGTGTCGTGGTTAGAGACATATATTGTATTGTATCTTGACTAGACAATGTACGTGTCATGGTAGGAGACATGTATTGTATTTTGATTGGACATGTACGTGTCGTGGTAGGACAAAATATATATTGTATCTTGACTAGACAATGTACGTGTCGTGGTTAGAGACATATATTGTATCATGACTAACCAATGTACGTGTCGTGGTTAGAGACATTTATTGTATCATGACTAGACAATGTACGTGTCGTTGTAGGACACATATATTCTATCTTGACTAGACAATGTACGTGTCCTGGTTAGAGACATATATTGTATCTTGACTAGACAATGTACGTGTCCTGGTTAGAGACATATATTGTATCTTGACTAGACAATGTACATGTCATGGTAGGAGACATATATTGTATTATGACTAGACAATGTACGTGTCGTTGTGGGAGACATATATTGTATCTTGACTAGACAATGTACGTGTCTTGGCAAGGGACATGCATTGTATCATGACTAGACAATGTACGTGTCGTGGCAAGGGAAATGTATTGTATCATGACTAGTCAATGTACTTGTCATGGTAGGAGCCATGTATTGTATCCTGACTATTCAATGTACGTGTCGTGGCAAGGGACGTGTATTGTATCATGACTAGTCAATGTACTTGTCATGACTAGTCAATGTACGTGTCGTGGCAAGGGACATGTATTGTATCATGACTAGTCAATGTACTTGTCATGGTAGGAGCCATGTATTGTATCCTGACTATTCAATGTACGTGTCGTGGCAAGGGACATGTATTGAATTTTGACTAGACAATGGACGTGTCGTGGTAGGAGACATGTATTGTATTTTGACTAGACAATAGACGTGTCCTGGTGGGAGACATGTATTGTATCATGACTAGACAATGTACTTGTCGTGGCAAGGGACATGTATTGTATCATGACTAGTCAATGTACTTGTCATGGTAGGAGACATGTATTGTATCATGACCAGACAATGTACGTGTCGTTGTTAGAGACATATATTGTATCATGACTAGACAATGTACGTGTCGTGGACAATGTACGTGTCATGGTAGGAGACATGGATTGTATCATGACTAGACAATGGACGTGTCGTGGTAGGGACATGTATTGTATTATGACTAGACAATGTACTTGTCATGGTAGAAGACATGTATTGTATTTTTACTAGACAATGGACGTATCGTGGGAGGAGACCTGTATTGTATTTTGACTAGACAATAGACGTGTCCTGGTAGGAGACATGCATTGTATCATGACTAGACAATGTACGTGTCGTGGCAAGGGAAATGTATTGTATCATGACTAGTCAATGTACTTGTCATGGTAGGAGACATGTATTGTATCATGACTAGTCAATGTACGTGTCGTGGCAAGGGACATGTATTGTATTTTGACTAGACAATGTACGTGTCATGGTAGGAGACATGTATTGTATCATGACTAGTCAATGTACGTGTCGTGGCAAGGGACATGTATTGTATCTTGACTAGACAATGTACTTGTCATGGTAGGAGACATGTATTGTATCATGACTAGTCAATGTACGTGTCGTGGCAAGGGACATGTATTGTATTTTGACTAGACAATGTACGTGTCATGGTAGGAGACATGTATTGTATCATGACTAGTCAATGTACGTGTCGTGGCAAGGGACATGTATTGTATTTTGACTAGACAATGGACGTGTCGTGGTAGGAGACATGTATTGTATTTTGACTAGACAATAGACGTGTCCTGGTAGGAGACATGTATTGTATTTTGACTAGTCAATGTACGTGTCTTGGTAGGAGACATGTATTGTATCATGACTAGACAATGTACGTGTCGTGGTTAGATACATGTATTGTATCATCACTAGACAATGTACGCGTCGTTGTTGGAGACATGCATTGTATCTTGACTGGTCAATGTACGTGTCTTTGTAGGAGACATGTATTGTATCATGACTAGTCAATGTACGTGTCATGGCAACGGACATGTATTGTATCATGACTAGACAATGTACGTGTCATGGTAGGAGACATGTATTGTATTTTGATTGGACAATGTACGTGTCGTGGTAGGATACATGTATTGTATCATGACTAGTCAATGTACGTGTCGTGGTAGGAAACATGTATTGTATTATGACTAGACAATGTACGTGTCGTGGTTAGAGACATATATTATATCATGACTAGACAATGTACGTGTCGTGGTAGGAGACATGTATAGTATCTTGACTAGACAATGTACGTGTCGTGCTAGGAGACATGTATTTTATCTTGACTAGACAATGTACGTGTCGTGGTTAGAGACATATATTGTATCTTGACTAGTCAATGTACGTGTCATGGTTAGAGACATATATTGTATCTTGACTAGACAATGTACGTGTCATGGTTAGAGACATATATTGTATCTTGACTAGACAATGTACGTGTCGTGGTTAGAGACATATATTGTATCTTGACTAGACAATGTACGTGTCGTGGTTAGAGACATTTATTGTATCTTGACTAGACAATGTACGTGTCGTGGTAGGATACTTGTATTGTATCATGACTAGTCAATGTTCGTGTCGTGGTAGGAGACATGTATTGTATTATGACTAGACAATGTACGTGTCGTGGTTAGAGACATTTATTGTATCTTATCTTGACTAGACAATGTACGCGTCGTGGTTAGAGACATTTATTGTATCATGACTAGACAATGTACTTGTACGTGTCTTGGCAAGGGACATGCATTGTATCTTGACTAGACAATGGACGTGTCGTGGTAGGAGACATGTATTTTATCTTTACTTGACAATGTACGTGTCGTGGTTAGAGACATTTATTGTATCTTAGCTTGACTAGACAATGTACGTGACGTGGTAGGAGACATGTATTGAATCATGACTAGACAATGTACGTGTCGTGGGAGGAGATATGTATTGTATCATGACTAGTCAATGTACGTGTCGTGGTAGGAGACATGTATTGTATTTTGACTAGTCAATGTACGTGTCGTGACAGGGTTTTGCTCATAAAAAATCCAGAGGTTATGATTTTCATGTCCATGAAGATGCCATTTGACTGGCTACTATTTTGAAAATATTAACTGTTACCCAGAGCTTTTTAGACGACAACGAAAACATTCCCATTTCTCGAAACTTTGACAAAGAAAATCTTATCTTTCTGACATAACCGGTTTACATATAATTGTTTCATCGCTTGAAAATATCGTTTACAAAATTTCTTTTAGAAAATCTTTCCAACATTTGGCTTATATGAACTCATGTTTGCTGCAAACAATGTGTTATAAATCTTAATAAAATTCTGATTTTCATATCTCATTTAAAATTCTCAAATAGTAGCAATTAAATTTAATTTCTATATTTAAATTCAATCATTAAAACTAAGTATTAGTAACAGTTGTCTCATTTAGTACTGGCATGGTTTCTTAAAATACACACTTACTCGTAATTAAAACTAAACAAGTACTCCTCTAATGTTTGGAAGTGTATATTATTACGGAGTACACCTCCCTTTCTGTTACAACAGTAATTAAAACCAATTTGGATGTCCAGCGTTTTGCCACAAGCACCAACAGCTGTATGGTGCAGTGTAATTCATTTTTGGGATGCTGTATTTATTACAGAATGTTAAAGCCACAGTCCTACGTGTGTGACTTACGTTCACTATTCACTTGGCTATCTATAACAGTTGTCTCATTTAGTACTGGCAGTGTAAATCATTTTTGGGATGCTGTATTTATTACAGAATGTTAAAGCCACAGTCCTATGTGTGCGACTTACGTTCACTATTCACTTGGCTATCGACAACAGTTGTCTCATTTAGTACTGGCAGTGTAAATCATTTTTGGGATGCTGTATTTATTACAGAATTTTAAAGCCACAATCCTATGTGTGTGAATTACGTTCACTATTCACTTGGCTATCGATAACAGTTGTCTCATTTAGTACTGGCAGTGTAATTTATTTTTGGGATGCTGTATTTATTACAGAATGTGAAAGCCACAGTCCTATGTGTGTGATTTACGTTCACTATTCACTTGGCTATCGATAACAGTTGTCTCATTAAGTACTGGTAGTGTAATTCATTTTTGGGATGCTGTATTTATTACAGAATGTTAAAGCCACAGTCCTATGTGTGTGACTTACGTTCACTATTCACTTGGCTATCGATACAATCATAAAAAAAAGAACATAAACGAAATCGGATAAGTTCCTGTTTTTATTATCAATATAATTATGTTGTCCATGCATCATACGACAACGTCAGCAGAGACATCCCAACATCTTTCGATAATACGAAACGAGACGCCCAATCAAAATAAAACAAATTGTGATTCTCAATGACATTGCATGCTATGGCACAACGGCATGATGTTTAAAGCGACAACGTGGAAGAAATAAGTAGGTTTGCTCTCACGAGCAATGGCGGACATTTAGATGTTTTTCTTGGTTTATTGGTCATCGGAGTCTGTAACAGAAAAAAATAACCGAATTCAGCCGAAGTATAAATTCAGTTTCTATCATGATGTTTTTTATTTTTGAAGTAAAAAAAATGGTATTAACTTAAAAAAAAAGAAAACTTGCCTCTAAGTTAATTTTTGCAATATATTAAACTCTTAAATGAAGCTCATATCAGATTTATGTAACTAGTCCAGTTATACTGAATAGTGAATATAAACGAATTCATAAATATATTATTTTATCACTTCATAAAGTATTTCTCTAACCATCATCATTGACTTTTCTTGTTTTAATTATGACGTCATCATTAAAACACCTCTGACGTCATTATTGATAGTACAATTATATTATATTAATTGCATTTGAAAAATAGCATGGCCCTTTTCAAAGAATATGTGATACAACTGGATTTGGAAGTTATACTTCATAAAAAAATGAATCGTAAAAGAGCCAAATTTGCAAACAATAAAACGTATATCTTGACAACTACTCTCTGACACCAATTTCTGGCAAAAATATCATTATGTGTCTGTTGTCTGATCATTTCGTTTACGTACAATGTAATAAACGAGCGTGTATCAATTTATTCTACAACGGTGCTAATTATGTTTACTTGATGGAGCCTATTTGTTGACTTAGGAATAGCTGCTTTTAAACTATTGCATACATCATCACAAAAACAACAATACATAAATACCGTCCACTTCGAAACATTCAGTGTCTCCCCTCCCTGACATTCCTGCAAATCAAATATATATGTTTTAAACAATATGACAGGAAATTTTCAACCGACCCAACTAATGTGATTAACTATTTTCGGGGTTTTTTCTGATAACAATTAATAATCACTACGGTGCTGACATACAACGAACAAAGTCACAAACAAATACCACTCGAAAATACTAACACTGGAACTAGCGGGATTACATATAACAAAGTCCATTGCTAACTCAATACAAATGGTAGATAACACGAGGATTTTGTTAGCTCAATAACTTTGGCATAGTTATTGTAATATCGAGGCATAATGTTGTCGCACCAAATCTTAAACTTACCCATGTTTCTACAGCATTTCATTCCGCCATCTGTTAAGACATTTCAATTATATTACTAGTGAAATATAGTATAGTAAATTGCATAGTTAATTGTTATATTCCTTTTTTTTGTATAAAATAGCAGGAGAGAGTGAAAAGAATGAAAAATTATCTGGATAGCACAATTACAACCAGAAAGCAATACATCAGAGAATCAATACGCAGGTGGGCTACTGGAGATTTCCTTCCTGCAACAACCTGATCATATGACAACAGTTTCAAAATAATACGCAACATTAAACGGCAGGAACTGGAAAGACATCAAAGCACAAAGAAACAACACGAACTCCGTCAAAAATGAAAGGCAGAATCAGGTGGTGCTACAGAAAGTAAGCGTTTCGTCAACATGAAGAGACGCCGGTCATTACGTCTGCTGCTGATATTGTATACATCATATAAAACAATCATTTTTCAAACACAGATATACCGGAACCAGACCCAGAGAAACAAGATTGTTTTATAATGAGTCACGCGTATTTCTTTTGACAGCGATTAAAGATAACATACATGTCATGGTAATTTTAAACCTAACAACTGTTTGGGGCCGGAGGGGCGGGGACGAATAGTGAAAACATAGCAAATTCTTTAAACTCCTTCTTATTCAGTAGGAATGAAAGGATTTGTTCCATGTTTGGTCTGAAGCATCCTTTGGTGAAGGGGAACCAATTTTGTATAAACCGTGGATCTGGCCCCCATGGGCCTGAGTGCGGGGCCAAAAGGGGGTAATAGGGCTATACTGATTTAAGCGACTTCTTCTCTGGAACTAAGAGATGGATATCAACCATATTTGACTGGAAGCATCCCTCAGTAGTGGAGATTCAAATTTGTACAAATGGTTGGGCTGAGCCCCAGGGGGCTGAGGGGCGGGGCCAAAAGGAGGCAATTTGGCTGTATTGCTACAAACGATTCTTGGAGATGGGGATTCAAAATTGTACAAATGGTTGGGGTGACCCCCCAGGGGGCTTAGGGGAGGGACCAAAAGAGGGCAAATTGTCCATATTGCTATAAACGACTTCTGTAGAATTATGCCATGGATATCGATCATATTTGGTCAGAAGCATTCATGGGAGGCAGGGATTCAAAATTGTACAAATGGTGGGGTTAATCGTTATTAACAGCCTATACCGATATATTTCGTCAACGATATCAAGCACGAGGTTGATCTTTGGATATCATTTAAACAATAACTGGTTGTCTGGATGTAATTATTGTTGATATAATTACAAGTGGCCTCTGGCAAATCCCATAAAACCCGCTAGGGTTTATGGTAGATTTGCCAGAGGCCACTTGTAATTATAACAACAATAATTACATCCAGACAACCAGGTATTTTTTATGTTGACAGATTTTTCTTTTTTAAGACATATTCCTACAAAAACCATTTGCCCTGCCTCAAAATACATTTCAGGCGGCCATTTTGTTTGTTTACATATTCCTACACCTGAAACAGGCAGCTGTAATTATAGTCGAGCAGTTGTAATTATAGCCTATGTAATTACACTTGCCCTCTAACACTGTTGTAATGGGACGGCGCGGGGGCAAATGTAAATATATAGAGATAAACAACAGCAAACTTTTCTCTTCATACTGTTTTAAAAAAAAAAATCAACTTCCGGTTTTCGGTACGGGTCAAAGTTCGAATGTGTAATTTTGTGAAACAAACTTCAAAAACCTTTTTCTCAATAACCAAGTGACCTAAGGTCATAATATTTATCGAATATTCATGCTCAAGCTGTGGACAATCAAGTTTCATAATATGAAAGACCTTGACCCATGTTCAAAGTCACTTGGGTCAATTATGTTAAAATCTTCAAAAGACTCCTTAACGGAAATGCCCAGGGTATTGATATTTGGTCTGTAGCATGCGAGGTTGATGGGCAACAAGGTTTATGGATCAACTTCCGGTATTTGATAGAGGTCAAATTCGAACATGCAAATTTGTAACAAATTTCAAAGATTCCGGGACTTTTACTACTGGTGGAAGGGAAGTAACTCGTACTATTTACGAGTTACTTCCCTTCCACCAGTAGTAAAAGCCCTGGTAGAATTGTTCACCAACAAAATTATAACTTAGAGCAGAAGTTAAACACCTTTTTTATTCTACTATTTTGCTAAAATTCTGAACTTGATCAAGTTTCAACATTTCAAAATATAAAGTCTTTACCTCAATGGTGTGATATAAGTAAGCCCGTTAAATTGTTAGCCAGCAATTTCTAGTTGTACTTATGTTTATTTAATCTTTTTAGTGGAACTACTTTTCGCACCATTTTATGAGTCTTATGTGTTCAGTGATTGACTTGTTTTTATTTTGTAACAAATACCTAGTTTTCATACTTTCACTTTGTTGATAACAAAATAAATGATACTAAAACCTACCTTCTTTTGGCTTACACTCTACTTCTCCATCTGTAAAATAAAATCAATTAAAACCATTATATCCTTATCATTTCAGGATGTCATCTTCGAAATTAAATGGCTTTATTCTCAATATATGCATCTTTTCTAATCTATGATTTTTTTATGTGTTAAAGGTGGCTAATTCATTTGTACATTCAAAACATGAAAAATAAAATGTATTTGTAATAAAAAAAAACAAAAACGAGTTCACTAGTCTAGAAACAATTGCAGATTCATGCATACCTATGATATCAAAGCAATGTTTTGATTAAACATGAAACTGAATTGCATGGCAGCAAAAGGAATAAAAGCCGGCTTAGATCTCAAAGTAGTACCGTCATAATTTTCATTGAACCGGTAAAACTATCTTTCTGCCTTGAGATTGGTCAGTTTTTGATATATGGAACCAATTTAATAGATAATAATTCAAGGGGGCAAAACAAGGTATGTTAATCGATCAATAGAACGGAAGCCTTCAATAAAAGAAGGACTTATGTTAGCTCAGTCGGTTTCAATCTCACTTAACTCTCGTCTTGAAATTAGTGTCATATTCTCCATTTATGTTTAGAAATAATAACTAATTTTAGATAATTGACCTATTTAAATTAAAATTGTTGAAACAACAAGAGAATACCGAACTGCCAACAAAACAATAATTCGATCTCGAAATCGATAAAACTATGGCGAAAAAATAATAAGAATAATACACGAAATGTCTTGAAAAAGTAGAAGGAGACTTACATCAGGTGTTTCGGAAGGTTAAGTGTAATCTGCTCAAACTACAACACCCGCCCTGTAAACCTATGTCAAATCTAAATAATGTCGCGTCCTGGGTAAAAACAAGGAAAACTGGGAAAGTACAACAAATCAACAAGGCTCACTTATGAGTATAATCAAAAGCAATCAATGTCATATCACACAAAGAAGGAGCCAATTCCCTTTTGAGATCATGATGGTGAGCTTAAAACTTTTCAATAGTCATCAGCTGATATTTAACGAAACCTTGTGCTGTAAGTTTTTCCGCCAGCAGTCGACAACTTTTACAAAAACATGATGTTCGGAGCAAACTAAAGAATTCCAAATCAACTGCGATATGTAAATACCGTAAGTAAGCGCGCAGGGGTGTTACTTTTCAGAAAGGGAAAGTTCGCTATCGGAAAGTCGAAACGAATTTGCTCATTGTACAGCTTAAAAGTAAGGCATCCCTGTTGGTCATGATGCAAGCAAAGATCGAGGAAAGAAGCTGACGACAAAGAGTCTGTCGTGTCATTGATTTCAAGCTAAAAAGGATATATTTTATTGATAAGTCAAGCAATATATTGTTATTCAAATACAGCACATCGTCGACATATCTATACTTGAAATTGAAGGACGTTGAAACGCTCCGTTTACTTGTCATGAAATGAGATATTTATTATTTCATATTTTATATGTTGTTTTAGATATATAGGTGATATTTTCCATTTTTCACTTGCCATATTTTATACACTCACACTCTGTCTCCAACAATTTCTTCTCTATTTTCATTTTTGAATTATGTTTTGATATTAATAGTTGCAGAATACGTTCTGCCTCACAGCTGCCTCATGATTAATTTTGATCACAACATCTAACATTAAATGACCTATCTAATTTAATTCTTAGCCTCTGAAATAATTCAAGAGGTCGTTCTAATTATTAACGCAAAATAGAAGCATACTTTCCCCCAATTTCGCTATATTATCTAATTGTTCTGTATTCATAGTAAATATGAAGAAAACACATATTATTTCGAAAGAATTGAAGGATTTGCATGAATGAATTTCTGATAATTTCTTTAAATCATGATTTCAAGTTCAACACAAAGGTTTTTTTATAGGCTTTGAAATTTGAAAACACTTAAGACCACTAAGGATTCCTTTTCAGAATCCATCTTTTCTCCAAAAGTTGAGTATTGAAAACATCTTGATATCTTATTTATTCAAGCCAGAAAACGAACTGGCGGACCTCTTTCGATATTTTGTGATTAATTTTCTATTGTATAAAATATAGGCATTCTTTTAATGGAAAACAATGAAAAAACATCCTTTGGCGTATCGGATGGACCGTTTAAGTATTATTTTAGTAAAAAGTAGATAATCACTTTCTTTTAACCGGTTATGTTAGCAAAGAAACTAACTTTTAACTGATATGTTTATATAAGCATCCATGCATTGTTTTGCTTCTCATCCTAATACAAACTATAAATAATCTTTAAAATAGATAAATGCTATTTGAAATCTAATTTAATGTCTGAAACAAACTAAAAGGAGACTTTCATTTTGATCGAATATACTTGCAATTTTTAACACATAGTACTAACACACACGAGTTAAACATGGCGCATGTCGGAATCAGACAGGCTTACGTATCCCTTTGTGTACAATATTAAGGTGTGATCAATGTACTATACATACGGATGTTGGCACAATCAAAATCTCCGTCGAGCACTTCAAGTTCACCAGGCAATAAGTCATCATATGGCATCTGATACCCACACAGATACACCATAAAGGATGCTTTCTCACTCCAATACCAGCTGAAGGAATCGACTACAATAGACACATGATTAATCAAGACACGCTTCGATCATTATACCACTTTCACATCCTCAGTCCCAGGTGCAAATCGCACTAACGCTTATTAAATTGTATGCGATTTCATCTGGGATTGAGGATACCGCTAATTCTAACATCTTAGGCATGTAATCAACAATTTTATAAATAGTTCTCGGCTTGAGTTATTAGTTTTTTTTCAAACCTATTCACTATTAAATCAGTCAGTTCCTGCAATATCGGTTGCTAATTTAATATAAGAGTATTGCTTAACTTGACAAGGAGATGTCATTGAGTAAAATTCTCAAAAAAAACAAATCTTTAAAATGCATGGAATTTTCTTTCAATACACATATTTGCTTTACACCCTTGAAAGATAAACGTAAGACACATAAATGTGAATATGTCATGAAAAAAGTAAGCGAAAACTTGCCGATGTTACAAATACGTACATCAAAAATTTGACTGACTTTGATGGCGAGTGTCGCTACTCTGTAATCTTTAAATGATAGGTACCAGCCTAGCGATTGGTCTGTTTTTTATAACTGAAATACATACTGCCTTGGATTTTGTTATTACATGTTCAAGAGGTGTATGGATAGAGGAACCCTTGAAATTCGAGGATAGAATTCAAATAGAGAAAAACACCTTTTAACAATTCAATAAGACGGTGCAAAAACACAACATTGGTAATATGTACAATAATATCCAAATGGTCGTTTTGTTCGTTTAAGACTCATCAACGGTCTCAAAAAATCTATTTCTAGTGAGACTTTAACCAGAGGATTGGTTGTTGTTGAGAAGTGTTGACTCAGTTAGTCAATCGCCAACTATCGCTATCAACGCAGAGGTTAAAGTGAACAGAGATACTAAAGATTTTTCCTAATCAATATTTCGCGGTTTTAAACAAAATTTGTAATTATCAGAGGTTTATTTAGTGATTTTATAACATGAAGCGTTAAATAGTTTCGTTTGATCTCGTTTTCATGAAAATAAATAGATCTAGAAAAATAATATTCAAATATATGTTAATGAGTTTATTGACTTATTTCAATAGAAATATCATCCGGTTGACTTGTTACTTTTTCCAGTACCAGTATAAACATAACAAACGGTGGTGGGAACTGACATCCTCGAAGGACAGGTATCAGCCTAGCGATGGACCGGTTTCTTTTTACCTGAACCCCATCAAATAACTAAATGCGTGCCTTCATTTTTGTGATGACATAGTGAGCGTAACTGCTAGAATTTCGATGATTGGAAACAGATTACATTTTAATTTGATATTTGCAAGCGAGGGCACAATAAACGATCAATTCAGATATCAAGTAGGTGATGCGTTTACTTAATCAGGATGAAACAAAAGTGAGTTATGTTTTGTGTTGATATGGATTTACATGCACGCCAGTGGGGAAACATGTTTGAAATGTAAATCGGTGTTATTAAACAAAATTAAAGAAAAATTCGTCTGCAATGATTCAGCACCTTATATGCTTTTGTTACAATATAGATGGCAATTTAGTCAGATCTAACCTTAAGACTCACACGTGATGACGTAGTCTGTGCCGATATCCAACTGTACGCCACACATGGAGTCGAATGCTGCCGTGTGCAGATAAAGCACGTGTTTGCCTCCAATCCTTTCCAGTGCGGTCTGTAATAAAACGATCGTATTTTAGAGGAGAACACCATCAAAATTATTGTAATCAGTTAAAATGACTTCCTCAGTAATCCGTATTTATTTCACGTGAAATTGAATATTAATGATATTTTTTTCCTTATTGGTATACATCAGTGAACGTCTCTATCTTGCATATCAACAAACATAGACGTACCTCTGTTGCTTGAATGACACTTGTGATCTCAAACGCATACAAAAATTGGTCATCAAATGGATCATCGCGTCGACGAGACAATAATGTCTGATTCAGGACCGTGCCTCTCACAACTTGGATAACAAATTCACAGGAATTAAGTAACTGATCAATACCAAACATAACTAATCGAACTATGCATCATAAAAATCTGCAACGTGTTCCTTTTATCTTTGGAAAGTGACCTTTTTTTTTTTTTAAATACAATTTAATATCAAAGGCGAATACTTTTTAGTATCTTTTTGTGTTCATGAATGAATGATAATTTTTAAACATCAAAACACTCAACAAAGATCTATCTGAAATTATGTGTATGCGACAAAAAATATTATCAACATAAAGAATAGAAACATCATCACTTAAATCTTTCCGAAAGATACTTTTAACAAAAAGACTAAAGCATCATAAAGTATGCTTGATAAATATTTTGTATCTAAAACTGGTAATACTCACATGAAATTTCATTTCTTATGAGTGATTTTTCCATTTACCAAGATGAAACAATTTGTCTATGGAATATAGAAATAACATGCAATGTTTATAAAGGTATTTTTATCTGTCGAGAATTAAACTTATCTTCCTTGCAGTATTGATTGCGTAGGTTGCCGTTCAGACTGGAACATGAACAGGCTATACACTGCTCGATGCCTGTTATTGCCAAACACAGAACTATCATCCACGACATGACTGATCTGGGTGTAATATGTTCCTTCCTGAAATAATACAAAAGGAAATAAAACATCAGACATATTTCAATATGGAGTGTTCGTTATGTTTTCTTCAGATGAATGTATCAACCATTGATATCAATCTTCATACTCTAGTGCATATACCTGATACGTATTACTAATGAACTTACTTCAATAAATAACACTATCTCTCCGATGTGAGTGAGTGGAGAATCGGTGATAATAAGAATCGGTATTATATATACACCCCCTCAACCTACGTTATTGTGATCTGGTATATCCAATCAAATTATTTCTAAACAAGGAGGCAGGTTTTCAGAAGCAGCAGGTTGGCTCATTTAGTGGATCCTGAAGGTCATATCAGTTCTATGATTATCAAGGGTGTTATTTTCGTATCATATTATCGATATAAACATTTTAAATGTAATAAACTACATATTATTATTCCGAATTGTTCATTTAAATTTCATTCATACTACTTTTATTCGAAATATGAATGTTTGAATAGTGAAAGCGGGAAACTTTATAGTGAAATAACAAGGTGAACGTCAATCATAGGAGTTGACAAACTCTTTACATCTGCTCATAGTTTCAACAAATCACCGATATTTATTCTACGGGATCTATCTAGGTCTATTGGAAGTCCCTCTTTATCTCTGAATAGCCATATACATTAGCATGCCTACTTAACTGACGAGTTAATCACTTAAATCTATCCGAAACATACATTGCTCGTTGTCGTCTGACCTTTTCAACACAATAGGCTTCAGAAGATTTTTAAAATTTGCAAATATATTTATTGGTAAGTTTTCATTTGTACTCATATACGCATTTTTTTTCTCCCATGTAGCCTTTAATGAGATGGACGTAACACACACAGGTGATTCCACCTTTAAAATTTGGTAATAGGCACAGAGAGTGTCACGATCGCATGTATTGTCTCGTGGTGTTTATGTTGATCGTATGTAGATATATATATTTGTGAATGTCCAGTGTCATTGTTATTACGAATCACGTGGTCAGTTAACGGATGTTACGGTAAATAAATAGGTAGGGAGCGGAAGTGCACGAGCTCAGGACACAGGTAAACATGTGTGGACGCGCCATAGCCACCTGTCGTGGGTTTTAGTACTCACAGCGGCCTACCTCAGTAGTTACAGGCACAGGTTACAGACTGTGGTAAGTAATATTAGTATTAAGCTTTATGTAACTCTATTTTTCCATCGTTATGTCCTAATATTGTCCGGTTAGCGTCTATTGAGCCGTATAGGATAGTGCGGTCCGGTCATGCGTGACGCTTGGGTAGTGAGCCATTACCACAGTACAGCACGTGCATGTAGGCTAAATTGTATGAATATGTTTTTAGAGATACTTTATGGGTTTATAAGTATGTATATCTCGATGCATAGTTATGTACGAATGTAATAGTGTTGTAATGTTGATGATATGTATTGGAATAGTGATAAACCGTTATGTATAGGTGAGGTCTCGATAGAGTGTAAAAAGTATGGAAGCCGCGTGGTGCCATACTCGACTGTGTACTTGGTACTATGTATCGCCGGACCGGAATTAGGTTTAATTGTTATAATAGTTATTATAGTATATCACTTAACTGTTTACATTACTAGATATCATAGAGTCTCACGTCAGTGTTAAGATTGTCGAATATGATTGTGTCATTATATAATTGTCATGTTGATATTTTGTGAGGAATCAATTGCTTGAATGGTGAAGTATGCAAGATTGTAATGGCTGTTTTGGGTATTGTTTAAGCTTTCCTGAGGAGGATTACGACCACATCTGGACATTGCAGTGGATACATGCGAACGGGGCATCAGGACCGTCCCATGCAAAGGGTCAAGGTCAGCCACAGGTCATCCACAGCGGGCAAGTCATGGTCACTGAAGGGGTCAGCCAGAGCTGTACAGATAGGGAACTCTTAGTGGACACTAGGGTTCGAGAGAAGCGCATAGCGCACATCCTATATTTCCACCGTCAGTAAAGGCTACGGTTGGTCAGAGACTGTTGTCACCCAGGATAGGACTATTGGTCCATTGTGTCATACAGTAGACAGGAGCAGACAGCACAGGAACTGTCATATTATTGAAACAAGGAACATTGACTGGTACCATGCAATTAGCCGGCTTATTTGGAACTGTGAACTTTTGTATGGAAATCAATGTGTGAAAATATGTAAATGTATGTATGTGAATGAGTGGATGCTGGAGAGATGATAGAAATGTTTAGTGAAATGTGCTTGTGTTAATTGTAAATAAATTGTTTGTATTTGTGTAACTTACTAGTTTGTTTTGTTCATTTCTAATTATCTCTACCGACGCTCGTCCCGCGTTACAGAGAGCAAAAAAAAATGAATCGCACTGCATATTACAGGTAACAAATTCATTTACATTTTTCAAAGAAATTTAACCCTTTTAACGTCAAATGCCATTCAGTTCATTAAGCTGTTGTGGCATATTGTCAGACAGTATATACTAAGGACTAGACTGGCTACCAGCCCCTAAGTTTTTATGAAGAATTTCCTGGCTACATTTTACTATTAACTTAAATTTAGTTTAGAACTAGAATCAGACATTTAAGTGGTCAAAATTATTAGCGTTTGTTTTTTTTCTATATAATTCAATATTCTAGAGACGGGGCCAGTCTAATGAAGGACTTATAAGGCAAAGTTTAAATAAAGGAGGTCCAATTGTACTATTAGCTTCAACCCTATCTGTACAACAATAAGTATTACCATTCTCTATAAACATATCATCGATATCTTTTCCAATTTACCAGAATTTGGAACACACGACAGTTCCTTCTGAAACGATATAAGTTATATTGCACAATCGATGTATTGATATTAAACATGTTGTAATTATATTTTTGTGTCGATTATCTACCTTAAAAATGTAAAAAAAAAAACTGTTCAAAACAATATATTTTTGTACTATTTATACACTTATATTTGTATTGTTTGTATACTAATTTGAATTCGTTATGCTTGTTTTTGCTATTGACGTACGCTATTAATCTAACATGACTAAAAGCTGAAATAATCTGAGAACTATTCCATTCCTAATTTCCGCTTACAATCTTCACTCAACTCGTTCATACCTTCTACTTTAAGACTATGGAATGAGCTTGACACTAATATTAAAACTGCACATTCTTTTAAGAGCTTCACAAACTGCCTCAAAAAACAAAATGAAACATTTAAAGTGCCTGTTTTTTATTTAGCCGGTGACCGTAAGTTAAATATTTTACTAACCAAACTCCGTCATAAATGCAGCCCTTTAAATGATGATCTCTTTAATGTTAACCTAATCAACTCTCCTATTTGTGCATGTGGATATCCTAATGAAAATGCTCATCATTTCTTTTTTACATGCAGTATATATACTGATCAAAGAGTTGAAATGTTTAGAAATCTTCATGAATACTTACCTCTAAGCTTAGAGAAATTATTGTATGGCCATGAAGATTATTCGAGTGACGAAAATAAAAATGTATTTATATATGTCCAACAGTATGTATCGAGTACTCGCAGGTTTTAAATTTGGTCACGTTCTTCTGTCTCCTCTCCAACAGTCCTCATTATCTTTCATATTCATTTCTTAGCTTGTGTCCGTATTACATGGCATAACGTACACTTGTGTGTTCCTTATTATTTTAGTAATCCTCTGTAATGTTTAACTTTCTTTTAAGTGCACGAGAGCGTGAATGCAAGAAGTGTGCGTGTGCTGGAATGTATGTAATATAGGCATGTGATGGGCCATTCAGTTACAGCCAGTGCGGTAGAAACGAATTTTCGAGAAAGGATGGAATGAAAAGGAGAAAGACACAAAGCACGGGACGTGACGAACTGTTGAATAGTTGAAAGTATGGAATAGTGCCAGGATATNCTCTCTCTCTCTCTCTCTCTCTCTCTCTCTCTCTCTCTCTCCCAATAATAGATAAATGTATTGATTTAAACTATGAAATCCATCTTATGATGTGTATATACAATTATTTATCTTATAAGGAAAGGGCGTTAATAATGTTCATGTAACTTGTGCCCAATCCTCTTGCATTTTTTTGGCAATAAAATATGTTTAAACTAAAAGCTGAAATAAAACTTGAGTATATTTAATGGCGTTGTTGAAAACAAACTAAAGGTTAACAAAGCACGAGTTATTCACCTTGACACCTGTGCTTGTTAGCAATCAAGCCACTAGGGTTGGATAGACTATTCCAGCGATGTATGGTTTACATATGTGATTTGGTGTCCATTGTAAAGCATATCATTGTAAATATATGTACGCAATATGCAGAGGTTTTGGATAATTTCATGCGTGACTTTTGACCAATATTGACCATGGGAACATCACGTGTTCAATAAAACACGGTAGGCAATTGTTGTTTTATTAGTTTAAAATATTTTATTGCCAAAAATTACAAAGGGTTTGGGTGGAATGCTACAAACCTTACTGATTCCCTTCCCTCTTTCTCTATGTGGTGTAAATACATGTACATCAATGTTGATGATATATATTTATAATACCATAACATCACGTTTCCAGTGTAATTCGCTGTTTCCTGTTCACCAGGGCTTAGTTGTTGGAAGCCTAATACGCTTACGCATAGTTAATGCAAAATTGTTTTAATATAATATTTTCAATAGTTTCCACATGTTTAGAGCAACAACTAGTTAACTTCACAAATACATGTACTTATTAACTTGGCTAGAGGCACTGTCGGGTTCTGTATCGAAATATAACCATACACCCACATATTAAACCTAAACACACACGCATTCAGTTACGCACGGTTGCACACTATTGGTTATCAATACGCTGTGTGATACTAAACCTGACTGAACGCAGGTAAACGCACGTGCACACATATGCATGTTTGTATGCACGAATACGCACATACATATACGTGCATGCCTGCGTGTATGTGTTTATTTACGAATTATTAAAAGGTTCACAACCTTAATACAGTAAGGTATAAAAGCAAAACAATGTACGTGTGGGGCACACGCAAGCAAGCAAGCACGCAAACACACACTCAAATACACACACGCAAACACACACACGCACACACACCCACGCAAAAACACACACTCAAACACACACTCAAACACAATCGCAAACAATCGCACGCAAACACACACTCGCAAGCAATCACAAGCAAACACACACTAAAACACACACTCGCAAACAATCATATGCAAACATACACACTCAAACAAACAAACGCAAAAACACACACGCAAACAATCACATATCCTCATATTACCCCAAATACCATCACCGCCAACATATTTATCCTATCACTGTCAAATTACCTTTGACGTGATGTATTTTAAATCATATGGCGAAAAAAAAAAGTAATTGATAAATTGAAGTAAACTATACAATGCCATTTCCTGTGACATTTTCATCACTTAAATAGACACGTATATAATGAGGAAAGCATATAAATGTTTAAACTGCAAGTCGACTGGTGTATTTTACGTAGGCCAACGAAACAGTAACGTCAATATCGGTGAGTATGATATATCTTTAGAGATTCTTTAACGGGGAGTTATGGATATGTAGTGGTTATTGACAGGTACAATATTGTAAAAATCAAAATTGTTTGGCTGTATTGATTTGTTTTACTTTTATTTTCATTTTCATATGATTCAGCAATATGTATTTCTTACGAGGTGGTAGTTGTAGAATGGTTTATGGTGTTGCATTTCTATTTCTATTCAGTGATTGAAAAAATAATAAACTTGTAGCTAATATGGTAAAAACAATATGGAACGATAAACGTAAAAAAATGTATCTAGTAATTACGGTAAAAATATTAATATGAATAAAAACTTTAAAGGAGTTATCGAAATACTGATTTCAGATTTTAATCCTACATCGAAAAGGTTTTTGAAGATTTCTTAGATATGGGATGGATATTGCTCGCCCTGGTATTTGTGGCAGCTGTCAGTTTTGACCACAGTGAAGGCTGTTCTTGCGCGGGACTCAACGACCTTGCGTTTCAGTACTGTAACGACGAAAAGGAGTTGAGTACGTATCTATAATAACGTTTAGCACTACAGTCGACTTTAATTTCATTGTGGATTTGCCATAGTATTATTATTCCGGCATTGTAGCTTCGGTTTTAATATTTTTCTATTAGTAGTAAACAATAGTACATGTATATATGTAATAAATATAACATCAGTATCGCCTACGTAGATAATTGTTACTTCACGAATACTAGGACCCGAATTCATAAAACTGTTCTCATGCTGACTCTCATATACTGTGCTCAAACCCGATTCCTTGTCTCTTCCTTATGGAAGAAATTCGGAGAGAATTAAAGACTTAACTGTTCTAAATATTTATTTTATTGAGTGATGTAAAAAGAAAAAAGTATATTTCGTGAATGGGGAGAACGAATAAATATATGATATCAAAGTTTCAGTCGGTCTTGACACGTTGAGACATGTTTAGTACGTATATTGTTTAGATATAAAGTACAATTTTGATATTACAGATATCCGATTTGAGTGAAGTGATTAGATATATAATTTTCAAATACACTTATATGACTTGCGAAAGTGTATTACTATAAGGAGGCTACAAAATTCTCATTAATGTAAAGTAAAAAGTATTACATATCGTAACATGATTTTTTTGTGATACCACCAGTAACTAACACCAGACAGTATATTTACTTGCCATTCTCCATATCAAACATTTGAAGAACACCAATAGCAACGTTAGGGACGTAGAAATACTTATTCAAAATAATCAGTTTCAGTTTCATAACATATGACGGTGTGTATTGTACCTTCTTGCAAGCTCTACATCTAAAACTGCTTCATGTCTCTGGTACAATTCTGTGTTATATATTACCTACTTCCGAATATTGACGATGCTTGTGTTAACGGATAAATATGCCTACATTTTGTATGTTCAACGTCCTGTTTACCAAAGACGTCTTCAGTGTAGAAACAAGTCTATCAAATGTAAACAATGTCAACCTTAACGTAGACAGAATTTTAATTGTTCCCCTTTATTTCCTTTCAAAGCGATTCTTGCCTGGAATTACTCAGAATACAACAACAGACCTTTTCCTCAGATTCACCTTTTTACTAGACACCTTAATATTGCCGTGCACGAAGATGTGATGATAAGTAAGATGTTTATCCTAAAGTTTGTACTTTATTATTTGTCACTTTGTTTCCGTTAGTCCTTCGTGGTGTAGCCCTGAACGAAACACTAGATGATGGCGAAACTATCCAGACCTGGGATGACGTCAGCAGTTATGCATTTTGGATAACGGAAGTCGTCAAAGCTACAGGGGTAAGTTCATTACCTTACAGGTATAACTCTTCAACTCCCCTCTCAAAACTAACTCTCTCGTCTGCTAATATACAGAGTATTTAAGGTCATAGTCAAATGATTTTGTTGTGGTTTCGAGTCGTTTCGTGATTCATGAAAGAAAATGAAAAGTATTTTTGCAAATTGAATATAAACAGATTGCTGATCAAATAAGACTGCGTTAATTTGAAACACAGATGCTCATTAGTATTGCCCGGAAGTGAATTTTGTGAAAATAGGGAGGAGGATTCCTATAAAGTTTGCCGTGTGGTAGGAACGCAAGATACCAAAAAGTTATATTTGTGAAAGCATTATCAATGGTAAATTCTTATTTTATCTTTTCTTAATGTAAATAATATAAAACTAACTACTCTAAGACATGCACGTTGCATTTTAATATTATTTTGTGATCTGAGTAAGAATGTCGTGGATGGTTTCATTTGATTAAATTCAGAATGCCAGTAGATTAATTGAAGGAAAGAACGTCATCAACATTCAAGCGGGTATGGAAGGTTCCATGTGCGGTACCAGTTTAACAATTGGCGTGGAGTACGTTATTGTATGTGAGTACTCTAAAAAAAAAAAAACATAAGCATTTTAAATATAAGTAGTCTACTAGTTGATGCGAAAACAAAAGGTTCTTGTGGCATTATCGCTTAACCGTTTCTATCCGACCTATGCAAGAACATGTTTCCAATAATTTAAGGACGCCGGAGGCTCTCTCATATTTCTTAATGATCCTCATTTGTAGACCTTCTAGTCTTGAGGTACATCAAGCACGGAGCACAGAGACGGACACAGACTAGCAACTTAAGGGAATATCTCCCAACCATTTCTGGTTAAAACTCTCATTACAATCCCTGTCAGTCATCATACTGCTGAATCATTAAAGAGTTTCATTGCGAGTGTTTTGTAATTACAGTTACCCCCCC